GTACTTTCACATCTGGATTTCTCTTAATTTTGTTTGGTTTACTTTCAATCTTTTAAATTGAAAGTAAAAAGAGTGTTTGAAGGGGAAGGGTTTCAAATGGGGATCTCTCTTCAACGGCGAGACTAGTTCGATGGTACAACAAGACTGGTTCGGTGGTGGCAACGATCGACGGTACACACTCATCTCATCTATTCTCTTCTCTTCGATCTGAAATCAAAAGTTTTCATGGGTGCCTTTCTATGTTGCTCGAAGTTGTTCTGGGTGCCTTTTGAATGGAATAGGGGTGTTAGTAGTGTTTATTTTAGGGAATATGGGAATAAGGGTTTGGATGCTTTGACTAGTGAAAGAGTATATCGAGCTACAGAAGACTCAAGTGAGGCTGATTTTTGATTTTTGCTTTCAAGAAACCCCATTACTCTTCAACTTGGACAATGATTCTATCTTTAACGAAAGCAACTGATGGAACTAATTTTCAAATCTGGTTTTGCAGATTTCAAATCTAATTCTTCCTCATTGAATTGTTTTGTTTTGTTTTGTTTTGTTTTTTTTTTTTTTTTGATGATGATGATGATGATGTCTGGGTTTTTAATTTGTTAATTCGTTGGTACTACTTTCAATTTTGGAATGGTGGAACTGTGATTTTGAGTTTTCTGGGTTATGGTTATTTATTTGTGTGAATTGCTATTTGTTCAAGTAAAGTTCTTTGTCAAATGCAAAGTTTTGTTTTTTGGGATTAATGGGAGAAATACACTTTTTTTTCCTTCTTTTTTTCCTTTTTTTGGTTGTTGGTAGAATTGTGATGATTTTGAGTTTTCTGGGTTATTTATTTGTGTGAATTGCTGGTTGTTCAAGTTCTTTGTCAAATGCACAGTTTTGTTTTTTTTGGGATTAATGGGTGAAGCACACTGTACTTATGAGAACCATTAATGTGAGTGGAGTGTGTAGCTGAAATGTCGTTGAGGTTCTATTCTATCAAATTGATAGGTTATAATTTATCAATGTAAAAGGGGAAATGAAATATTTGAAGTTAATATGATGGAGTTTTTGCAGTTTCATATTTACTAGTTCAAGTAGCTGCAAATATTTTTTAACATCTCATATTTTTATTTTGTTTCCCTTTCTCATTTTTTAGTTTAAAGTTAGTTGTCCTTTTTGTTTTGTGGCTAGTACATTGTTTCTCTTCATCTCCATTGACTTCATGGTGTCTGATAAATCTGTGTGTACATGGCTAGGACCATGTTTTGAACTATTTTATTTTCTTAAATTCTAGAGCTCTGTTTTTGTCAAGAAGGAATTCAATGACAGCCATGACTACTTAATCATTGTTTCTCAAACTAACTTAACAAAAAGGGTCTTACAAATGCTTTTTTCCATAGTCCTGATTTAGGTAGGTACTTTTTATTTTTGTTGGGGTTAGGAAATTAGCTCAAAGGTTGAACTTTTAGCTTTGGATTTGTTAGGAAATCACATTATCATGCTGTTTTCCAAGCAAGACAGTTTTTCCTGTCTGTTAATGGGAACAAGGCCCCTGGACCCAATGGCTACCCGGCTAGTTTCTTTAAGAGTTCCTGGGAGGTTGTGGGTAAGGATATTGTTGAGGCTATTAATTTTTTTTTTAACTTCTGGTGAACTTCTTAAGGAGTTTAATAGCACCTTGATTGGTTCTAGTATACCTAAAGCTGGGCAGTGGTTGGTTCTAGTATACCTACTGCTGCTACTGTTTTATTGGACTCTATGCACCTTCAGCTGAGCCTATTATTAAGGTATGTTGGAACTCCATACCTCTAGAGTCATTTCTTTTTTTTTTGTTTTCCTATAGTAAGCTTGATTTGCTCCATGATAGTCCTGCATTTTGTAATTTTTTTAAGTGTTGCTTTTATGTTGGATAGGACAAGAACTTCAATAATATGCCAAAGTATGAGCATTCTGTGAAAGCTGCACGAACCGAAACAACTAAGCAGTTACATTGTTACCATAACAAAAAAATCTACCTGTTACATTGTTGTTCTCTTTACTATTGGCTACTCTACAGCGTGATGCCATGATGGTGTTATTTTGGAAAATGGAAGTGTACATATTGCCAGCTTGAAATATGCATGTTGCTCCTTTAGGTTTCCTCTGGATTTATTTTAATTATGGGATTGCTCCGTGTTTATAAATGGCTTACGGTATTTCTGATTTATATCCTCGTGATATATTATTCTTCTTACCAAAGAAATATATTCCTTTTCTTATGGAAGTTTCCTTCTATAGAGACTGGCAGCAGGTGAATGGTTTACAGCCCGAGTCTCTGCTTGTGGACTATTTCATATTGCTTACCCTAGTTCCTCAGAGATGTTAAAGACAGAATTACGGTCTATATACAGCTAGTTGTGTCAGGATGACATGCCTATGGTGAGGAGGTCTGCTGCAACAAACTTGGGGAAGTTTGCTGCAACTGTTGAACCTGCTCATCTCAAGACTGACGTCATGTCAATATTTGAGGGTCTTACACAGGATGGTAAGTGCTTTTTTATACGCTAGGCCACAACAGTCTTAATTTTCCAACTTATGATCAGGTACATATTGAGGGATGCATGGATTGGTCCAACTGTGATAAACATTTGGCAAGCTTTAGTTAGCAGATTGCCAACCTCTAGCAGCGGAGTTGATTTTTTACCCATGCTTGGAACATTCAAAGCTGGAATATTTATTGGAACCATATGATAAGGGTGGATGTGATGAATTAGGACCACAATAACTGAATATGTAACTGTAGTAGGCAATCTAAATGTGGATGAGATGAAGAATGGGGAAGAGGGATGGATAGTTGTAGGTGTAGATGCCAGCTAGCTCAGATGGTGAAATCTTCACAAAGAAAAACCAGCAAATATCCCAAGATGCACAAAATAGATAAAATCGTACTAATAGGTATTTGGACTCAAGAAATGAAGGTTTATTAGTCTATAGCCGAAGACCTGGGTTGCATTGTTAAAAGACAAACTGAAAATTGAAGCTTAACAGAAAGTAAAAGATTATCAATGGAAAATTGTTGCTTTTGGTAACATGTAAAATCAAGTGGGTGATACCAAAGCTTGTCAAGAAAGCTATTAGCCTCAGAGAAACCGTGAAAGCTGCACGAACCGAAACAACTAAGCAGTTAAGGCTCTGATTATTCACATTTTCATTTTCTCCGCATGTATTGGTTAGACAATGTTGCCAGTGAGCTTCATATAGAATTCTTAGTTTGTTTCCTGTAGTGGGTGTGATCTTGTTTTCTTGTTATCGTGCTTTGCATTACAATATGCTAGCCCTGTAGTACTCTCTCTTCCTGTCTTTGATTTGTCAATTTTTATTTGCACAGTAGAGAATAAATCTTTTTCATTCTGCATCTTTCAACCACTAATCACTAATGCCAGCTATTTGGAATTATGATGCAGCTGGTGCATAAAAGCATAGAACTTCATGATTGATCATTCTGGTTTTCTCTGTGACATAAAACAATGGGTCTTAAGATTTTTATATTCAATTTTTTACCCGTCCTGGAGTGTATATTCTCTTGTTACTTCTATCATTTGCTATCTATGTTTGATTTGCACACATCAAGGCATTTTTATTTCTTTATGGTCATTCCATATTCACAAACCCTCGGAGTTTGAATGGCATTGATTAGTTGAAAGATGATGGTTGACTTCTGTATGTGGTCGCCTGGGTGACAGTTGGGGAACTTAGTTCCACTGCTTGGGTTAACCTGGGCAATTTGTCGAACATGCTGAGAACATGTGTTTTCTTTTTTATGAAAAATTTCCATATTGAGACGCTCCAATTCATTTTGCTTTTTGTTTCCGTAGGCTAAAAAAATGTCGATGACTAGAAAAAGAAAACAGTTGAGGTTCGATCTTCTGCTTGGGAAATTTCAGAGGCAGCGAAAGCATTTCTGAGTAAATTATAACAATAATTATTTTGTTCTAATCCAACTCCTTTTTTTTTCCTAGTCCAGTTGATGGACTTTGAAGAACATTAGGGGTTTGAAGAACATTAGAAATTCACTTGGTTGAGTTTATTTTTTAGTTTATTGTTGACAGAATTCACTTGGACTTGAGTTGGTTACTTGTTCAATGTAGTCAGATTTTTGGAAGGAATATCATAAATTGTGACCTGCCAAATTGTCAATCCACTCTTTGAAGATTTCAAAACTTAATTGAATTCATTTATGAAATCTTTGTTTATTTGAGTGGGACTCTTCATTTTTAGTATTCCGATTTTACATTACTAGTGTTTTGATTAAACCAAGCTAGTTTTTAATCTAGCTTGTTCAAAACACCTCTTATTCCAATATTTATTGTTCTTGATTGCACTTGTCAAGTGTGTTTTGGTATGTTAACTATGGTGAAATGTTTTTGCAGCTATTTAATATCAGCGAGGAAGTAGTAATTGATGCTACAAATAAAGGAAATGTAGGACGATTGATCAACTATTCTATAAGTTTCTATTTTAGAAATTAATACAGAATTTTGTTTATTTATTGGCTAACAAGCTTCTAATGACATGAGTGTTTTTTCCTGATAAATTCTTTTTTTATTGGCAACAGGGTTAGCTGCTCCAGCTGTAAGCTTGAAATTAATTATATTGTAAATGATTTTTTTTTTTTGGTTTTTTTTTGCAGGTATAACCCTTTTGAGAACGTGATGATATCTTCGCATATCAATATTAGAGTTTGCAATCTTATTTATTTATTTATTTATTTGAAAAAACTATCAAATGTTTTACATTTTCTGTAAGCTTGAAAATAATTATGTTGTAAATGATGATTTTTTTTTTCTTTTTTGTTTCTTTTTGCAGATGCAAACCTTTTGAGTACGTGATATCTTCGCATATCGATATGGGAGCTTACAATTGATATCAAAACAAGTTACATTATATCTGTTTTTATTTTTTTATTTTTTTATTTCTATTGTCGATACTAAAAATTTGAGTTCTTGAATTTCAAAAATTATTAGTATTGTTAGAGGTTATTTTATATATTTTTGTAAATAATATTTGATTGACAATTGTTACAAGGTATATATATTATTCTTGGTATATGATTTTTTGAATGTGAATTTGGATGTGGATGTAGATGTAGATATGGATGTGGATGTATTTTTAAAAATATTAATAATTTGTATAGGAAATATTTAATAAAATATGATTTTATAAAAAATAATTTTATTGCGACAATAATAAACTGTCGCTAATGTAATTCTCATTTCCTTATATTTTATTAGCGACGGGTTAGCCTGTCGCATATACATATTAGTTCCAATCTTTTGTGATGGCTTCAACTGTCGCAAATAAATCTTTTGCGACGGTTGAAACTATTGCCAATACGGTATTAATTTAATATTACTTTTTTGACGACGTTTTAGACCGTCGTTAATAATACATTTTGCGACGGCAAATATCGTCGCTAAAAAAGGTTTTTTGCGACGGCAATCAACATCGTCACTAAAAATGCCATTTTTTTTTCCTTTTTTTGTGTCAGGCGAAACCGTCGCAAAAACTATTAATTAGCCGTCGCTACAAGAATGCGACGATTTGTAACCGTCGCAAATACTTTTTGTTACGCCCCTTTCTGCCACCCCCCATTTTCCGTCGCTGCTCCGTCACAAAAAGTCTTTTACGACGATATATGGACCTTTTGTGACGTTTGAGACCGTCGCAAAAAGTTTGATTTTTAGTAGTGTCCTCATTATTATGTCTCAATTAAGGCTTAGGAATGTCTTAGATGCAATGAGAATGTCAAAATGCACTTGAAAACACTATGCAAAAAGAGAGAGAGAGAAAAGTTGGATCAAAGAAGACGAAATTGGAGGTAGACTTGGTGAGATAAGAGAAAATTTGGAAGAATTGTCTTGGAACTCAAGGAGTTCTATATGAGCACAATTGAAAACTTAAGGTACGTAATTCAACTCTAATATGAATATTTCAGTCACCTTAGTCAGAATCAAGAAGAATTACAAAGATAAGCTAGGATTGAAGAATTTAAGCTCAATCATGTATATCTGTCATACATGCATTTGAAGTTGTTCTATGAATTCTCACATGCATGTGTCATCTTGCCTTTGTTTAGAATTTCAACATGCTATTGTGCTAACGACTCAATTGATCAAGTTTGGAAGAAAAAGATTCATATCTTACATGCATGTTGTATATAATACAAGTTTCAAGATTTTTGAATAATTCACTCGCATTTTTGGCTTTGATTTTGCGAAATTGCTTTCAATTCATGATGTTATACAGTTTAGACATGTTTTTCTCGAGTTTTGGGGCTCTAAAGGATGTTTTTTGAAGTTGAATTTGAGTTTTGTATCTCTGAAAACAGAAGCTAGAAATTCAGAAATTCTTGCATCAATTGCTCGAGCGACCAAAGCTGCGCTGAGCGACCACCCTCTTGTTTTTGCACCTTTGGCTCGCGCGACCAAGAGGTGCGCCTGGAGCGTATAAATTCAAGCTCCAGTACTTTTGCTATTTGAAACAACCGCTACGCGCACCGAACCTGCACTTGAGTGTCTACTCTTATTTGAACCTTGGCTTAGGGAAGGAAGTTATGATCGAGCATAAAATAAGAGTTTCAAAAGTTTTGTAGGACCAACGGGATCACCACTAAGTGACCAAAGTTGCTGCCTCCAAAAAAAAACTGCCCATTTGCTGGAAAAA